GGCCCATCTTTATTGATTCGTCAGAAATTCTAAAAAAAAAAAAAAAAAAAAGAATAGCTACTGATCACCCAGCAGCCAGAGTGTGAGCCCTGAGGGAAAAGGAGGTGGAAAAGGACAAGCGACTTCTGATAGGGAAAGGACGATGAAGAAGTTGAGAGTAAACGGGTGCTGTCTTGGGGGGCTGGGGGCACGATGTGTGTGGCACTGTGAGTGGTCCTGGGAAGCTGGAAGTCAGGAGACGGTCACAGGGGCGTCTGAAAAGGGGCGACTTCAAGAAAAAGGGGAAAGGGGTCCTCAATGTGGTCAGTGAATGAAGCCACGGTGAAAACTGGCACATTCCTACTCCAGTTTTGTCCAGTGTGGCACTGCCACCCAGTAAGACCCAAGTAAGAATGGGATGGCCAGTTCACAGATGCCCAAGACTCCTTACCAGTCTGGGTCCTAGCGAGGAACAGATGGTACATTCAAATTGGGATAACTGGAGAAAGTTTAATAACGAGACTATTTACAAAGCTGTGCCCTGGGTGTAGGGAAACCACAAAGAACAGTGTAGGACTGGGAGCTAGTAACAGTGGGGATCCACTGCCAGCCCAGGCCTGAAGACATGGGGGAAGGTAGTGGCTTCCAGGACACAGAGAGTGAGGCAGCTGCCAGACAGAACAACGGGGGTCACTGGGCTCCCCAAAGTCCCTGTCCTCCCACCCTTGATTCCTACCAATGCTCCCATTAGCCAAACCCAACTGGAAGCCAGAGGGAAGTAAGTCCACTGGGGCAGGCTGTACAGTTCAGACTGTGGGAGACAGAGCAAGCTGGAGAAGGGTACGAGTGGATCTGCAGGTACAAACCCAAGATATCCTGCAGTGATGCCCCCAGTAGGCGATATCTCACTCTGGCTGGTGGCTGATCTCAATTACCAAATTTGTGCAATAAAAGCTGGAAATGGCACATCTTGTTTTCAAGAAATAAGCCTCCTTTGAAAAACACATTTATTTAAATCCTAAAATCAAAGCACCTCTGCTCTCTCTCTCATCTGAGGTCCTCCTGTCCCCAGACATGTGAAGTCCCGCTGAGTACAGAAAAACCATTGCCTCTAGCTGGAGAGAGAAGGGCTCTCTAAGTGATGCCTGCAAGTGGGCAGTAGTATCTATTTTTAGTTCCCCTTAATTGCCAATTAGTGTATTGATGTTTGTAAAGGTAATGAAAGGATGAGAGGCTGAGGGGAGGCATCCATTTCTCCTTTCTCTCATCCTTGTAGAAAAAAACATAACTCCCATGTCCACGGCAGCCCACTCCTGCTCTAAATTATCTCCACCTTTTCAGGAGAGCAGCTGGTTTGAATTCCCTGCCTAAACACCCTTTCCTTCTTGGAATGGGCCGATTCTGACTCCCAGTGAAGCACCACGTTCCCTAGTATGGCCACCTTCTGTTTTATGCATGTAGTGGTTTCCTCCAACGTGTTTTTAAGTTCACCACGTTACCTTGGACTTTTTGAAAAGGATAAAGCTAGCAAACACATGAAAAAGTAGAGAAGCATTGTAAAGAAACATGTATTCGTGAGGAACTCTCATGCCAACAAGGGAAAAGGCGTGCTCCTGGCATGCGTCTACCGAGTGAATCCACACGTACACTGTCCCTGCAGTCCACGTCCACCCGGCCACTGTTCAGCAGCAGTTTGAGCAGAGCCAGGTTGCCTCTCCTTGCTGCCCAGAACGCAGCATTGGCCAGTGGAGTTTCCTTCTGCAAAAGCAAAATGAAACAGGATCTTAAAATTGACGTTAGTTAACATGACCACTTCTATGCAAATATACAATACCATTCAAAAGGCGGAATTTCCAGATGTGTCGTATCATTTGAAAGATTGCTCCTTCAGCAATAGATGACTGCAATACCCTTGGTTATGGGATGCATTCTGTTTTATACCAGACACCTGAGCCACAGGGCTGTTATGAAGAGCAATGCTGTTGACAACACAGCACTATTAATGCCCTATTTCCCACCAATGCCTTCACACTCCTGCCTCTGTCTTTGTTCACAGTTTCCTTTTTTGCTTGAATGAATTTCCTCCATCCTTCAAGGCCAAGGCTCTGCTTAAATGCTATTGCCTCCCTGAAATGTTCCCAAATCACACTTCACCTCTAAGCAGCGGGATCTCTCTCCCAATTTTGATCTCCCAAAGAAGTTTACTGACCTTCCCTATGCCCTCAATACTTTCTACATGATTCTAGCTGTCTGGGTAAATGCCTCATTTTCCCTCCACCTAACTTTCTTTGCTTCAGCTGGAACTTGCCAGAGGTTTCTGTGGAGAACAAGGAACTCTGGGCAGAAAATGCTGTCACATGTCCTCGTATGGATCCTTCACTCCACTGCTGGGTCATTTTAAAGCTGCAGAGTTAATGTTGGAACCATAACTCCGGAAGGAATAGAACTGGGAAACAGTTCTCCAAAATGAAAGTGGCAGACATGACTACAGTACAACTTCCTTCTCTAAAAGGGATTTGGAGTTGTAGAGGACAGTCCGTGGTGGAGAGCGGGGAGGGCAGGTTTGGGAACCGGACAGCTCTGGGTTTCAACCCCAGCTCTGCGCAAGTGACTTGGTCCTGGTGAGTCTCGGTTTCCTCTTGCTTAGACGGAGACCACATTACCTGCCTTGAAGTTGACGGTAAGAATTCAATGATGCAGGTTAATTGGCTAATACGGTGCCCAACACATCACAAATGCTAGTTTCCTTCCCTCTATCTACTTTTCTTTACAAAGTTAGAATCAATAGGCAAAATTAAATTCAGAGTAGTATTGATACTAATAAAGAATTTTGCTGGTCTCAGGAAATTTTCTAGTATTCAAAGTTTATAACAAAAACACATTTTTGGGTGGGCTTAAAACACCTATCTGACAAAAGGCCTTTCATGCAATACGTGTTTTAAGTACACTGAAAATGTATTAAACACAATACCTAATTTACCTACACAAAATTAAAAAGAAACATCAACAATTTCAGCTACTCCACAGAGCCATCTAAAATGAAAGCACAGTGACAGCAGAGTGATGGCAACATTTGCTGGTACAAGGATTGCATTTCAGAAGCCCTTCAGCTCATACACAACTGAGTCTTCTTGTGCATTCTTGGATGACAGCATCACAAAACAGGGAGTTTTGCAAATTACAAACATAATTTGAATAGTTTTCTGGCTCAGTTAGGAGGAGAAAAGTCACCTGGAATTCCAGATGGACAATTTGCTTTCCCTGAAGGTGTAAATTTTACTGTCCCAGGAATGTTCAAACCAAACTGCCATGGTGGTGTTCACACCCAGTGTCGGTGGCTTTTGCACCAGGCTGGGTCTAACATTATAGTTAGTAACTGGGTGAAACAAAGGCAAGACAGGTTTGACTTGTATAATAAATCACTAAACAATGCTCTTTTAATAAAGAGATTGCACGAGGCCAAAATGAAGTCTGGGAGGGTGAATTAGGAAGAGAATTTAATATGCGCCATGGAACAGCTCTGCTGGGTTTTCCTGAAACATAAAAGCTTGAGAGTAATAAATTGTAAATAATGTTCAGTGCTTTTGTTGTTTTACTTTAACTCCCAAAACCTTTCAAAAACCATCTGCAAACCGCAGACTTCTATTGTCATAACAAGATCTCCAGCCAAGAGCCTCTCCTGCCTTTAGGATGGCTTGGCGATTCCTCTCCGGCTCAGGCTGGACATCGTGGTTTCCTATAAGATTCTAGAAACTGAGCTTTGTGAAAAGCTGTGAATATTTCATTTTCCCTCAAGGGCTTGTTTTCCTAGGAGGTGGAGGCATGACAGAGTAGTTGATTTGGGGTAAGGAACAGCTGAGTTCAAGGCCTGACCCTGCTACTTCCCAGCTCTGTGACTTTGGGCAGGTTATTTAACTTCTCTCTGCCCCAGTAAAATGGGAATAATAATAATAGTACTTCATTCACATGTTGTTGGAGGATTAAATGAGAAAATACATGTAAATGCTCTTTGATAGTAAACACTCAAGAAAGCTAGCTATAAATGCACAGCCCTCATACCTTTTAAAAATACTTGTCCAGGCGAATTTATTTACTTGGTGACTAGCATATGCTAGGGACAGTGCCACTGGCTAGGGTCGAGGACTAGATATACAAATCAACCTTGATTTCTGCTCACAATGGCTTTATGGCCCAGTAGGAAAATAAGTCGTGTCAACAGGCATCAGAAGTTATTACAGGTTCTAGAGTAGGAAATGCAGATACTGGTGGTGAGAGCAGAGAATGGTCAATTCTACCTGAGGAAGGTGGCCAGGAACGGGTTTCAAAGAGAAAATACTCTTGAGAAGAGTTCTGAAAGATGAGTAGTGGCCTGAGTGATGAGCATCCCAGCTGGACGGGATGGTGAAGCTAAAACATGGAGGCTCCCCACAGCATCTGGGAACCTTCTCCACCAAGGGTGGACTGGAGTGAAGGGTGTGAGGGAGAGAGGGCAAAAGATGCTGTAGACGAGGCAGTCAGGGCCAGATCTGCTGTGCCATGCTACAGAGTTTGCACTTTATCCTGGTGGGCACTGGGGAGTTAAGGGAGGGTTTTTTTGTTTTGTTTTGTTTTGTTTTTTGTGAGGAAGATTAGCCCTAAACTAACATCCATTGCCAATCCTCCTCTTTTTGCTGAGGAAGATTGGCCCTGGGCTAACATGCGTGCCCATCTTCCTCTACTTTATATGGGACACCGCCACAGCATGGCTTGACAAGTGGAGTGTCGGTCCACACCCGGGATCTGAACCTGCGAACCCCGGGCCGCCAAAGCAGAGCTCGAAAACTTAACCACTGCGCCACCGGGCCAGCTCCTCAAGGAAGGGTTTTAAGGTGAGGAGAGACTATCAGTTTTGCATTTCAGGAAGGCTCCTGTGGCAGCCTCAGAAAGAATGAACTGAGGACTGGAGCCAGATTGAGATGGGTGTCTACAAGTGTTCGGAGACTGATGCACAGATGGGCAAGGGACAGTGAGGGCCCGAGCGGAGGCAACAAGAGTATGGATGGCAGGATGAGGCAGTCGGCAGAAATTTTAAGGAGCTAAACTGAATAGTTTGGGTCTGCGACTGTATGTGCAGGAGAGGAAGGGGAAGGAGTCTGGATGGACTCCCAGGTTTCTGGTTTGAGTGCCTGGTTGATGTGGTGCCATTCATGAAAGTCAGAAATACCGTATGAGGGACAGGTTTTCGGAAAAAAATGATGAGTTCAGCTTTGAACGTGCTGAGTTTTAAGTGCCTCCAGGGTATCTAGGTGGAAATGTCTAGCAGAAAAATGTCACACTGTGGCTGACACATTTATTGGAGGGCAGGGCCCCTGAGCTAATACTTACTAAGTGCTTACTCTGTACCACTTGGCATATCTTCTGCATAAACTAAGGTGAGGAGCTCATTTAATCCTCACCGTAGCTCAGTGAAGCGGGTACTATTACTATTCCACTGCACAGACGAGTCAGTGAGAAATGACAAGGCAGGCTTCAGGCCCTGGCAGGCTGGTGCTTGAGGCTGCCCTTTCAGCCATCACACGGTTCTACCTCCTGCAGAATTCTCCTGTAGACAGCGAGGAATAAGGCAGTGTTGACCCCAATGACCTCCTTCCTATCCTCATTCCAAGTTCCTCTTCTGCCAAGATGGAAAGTCCCCCAACCTTCCTTCTCTTTGGGGTCTATACACATTGCCTGGATAACTTCCAAACCTCCCCTGGGAACAATATGCACATAATCATAAATGCTGTGGAGTGGAAAGGGGGCAAGCCCTTTTGCTTTAAAGAAGATGCATGCAGAAATGCCTCACACAAATTGTAAAGCACTTTACCAATCGTGCTATTACTATTTAACCTCTTTCTTGATTTTTCTGATCTCTACAACAAGGCCAGTGAGCCTCCTTCAGGCCTGATGGTTATGATATTATGAGTAACAGCAATGACGATGACCTACGTTGAGATCTTGCTCTGTATCAGGCAGTGTGCTAAACACTTTTACCGCTCAAATGCATTTAATTACCAGAACAACTTCATGAGATAGGTGTTAGTATTATTCCCATTTTTAAGATGAGGAAACTGAGGCACAGAGGTGAATTACTCTTTTTGGGCCCAGAGTCTGAGATCTTATATATTATACCCTATAAGAAAATCTGAGTATAAACTTCCACACATACCATATTTTCTTCTCTCCCTCCCACTTTACTGCCAGAATTTTGGCTAATACAATGCTCACTGGCACACTATCAGAAATTAAGTACAAGAGGGAAGGGGAGAGGAAACAGAAGGGAAATTGTTACTTGTATAGAACTGAAATTCTGATTAAAAGCTAACAGAGGGTAGAGATTTAAACTATTGATTTTAAAAAGGGTTTACAATAATGTGGATTTCAATTGTGTACTATAATGATGGATTCAGACGCCATGTGCAGAAGGATGTTTTTGAGATGTCACTGACTAATCCACTGTCCCACTTTGTGCTATTTCAAATTTTCAGAATGCTTAATAAACATTAAATAAGTGTTAACCCTGTGTTGTCAGTATCATTACACTTACCTAAGTGATAGGAAACTGAAGAGAAAACGAAAGCAATTTGCCCAAGGCATTCTGCCTTAGAGGTAGGCACATATAACACTAGCATTTCCAAATCAGAACTCATGACAATGTTTAAAGTCTGTTTAACACATAAATGTCCACAATAGACAAATCTATAGAAACAAAAACTAGATTAGCAGTTGCCTGAAGCTGG